CATTATTTCTAGCCCCCAACGCCCTCTCCTTCCCTTCGGTCTGACTTTTTAAAGGAACTCCACCTGGCGTTCATCGCTCTGTGCGTGTTGTCGTCGCACTCCTGACAATTCGCTGTGTTTTTCCTCATACTCGCTCGGTCGGCTTATCCAGACATTTACTCATTCGCCCGCCGCCTTGCTCCACCATGTCACCGCCCCGCCCCGTGCCTGGCTGCGTCTCTTCAGTCCTCTATGGGTGCTGGCTGATTCAACTGCGAACGTAACTCGAGTCGATGGCGATGACCAATCAGCGTTAGCTGCGACCAGTAGTGGCTAACCTATCAAATTTTGATGTCCATGCTTGCCTGCTGAATTCGTTGCTTCAATTAGCTTGACTGATACAGATCCTCTCCTAAAAAGGGTTTTTTGGTAAGGATGACTTGTATGGCCTCCCAACTAGAGCACAGGCACAGGAAACGCCCGCAATACACGTGGTTTTGTGCCAAATTCCACGAAATTAGATTTAGAATTAAGGTGAAGGTTAGGGTTACATTTAAGGTGGGTTTTAGGGGCAAGATTATGTTAAAGGTCACGGTTTGGCTTCTTCTTAACTGTAGGATTTTAGGGTAGGGCTATGTTTAAGTTTTAAGTCACAGTTCAGTTTTATCCTAGAGTTAAGACACAGGAAGAGTTTCCCTTCCTGATTGTTGTGCTCATTAGTACGATGCCTAAATCATTGCCTAATCTGACAAAGTAGTATCTGGGATATAGGACGTAATATCTTCTTCATGCTCAACTCACCAGTCGACCGTAGTAACAACTAGTTAGGACACAGGATATTAGCATGCAAGGACCACGCAGGCAGTCCAGGACTAGAGAAGGAGATAAGTTGATTCAGTTGTTAATAATGAGAGTGGTCTACGACGGCTACTGGCTACGGTCCGATGCCACTGATTTATCTGGCCAGCGTCTGATAGGTTAGCGAGTTCTTCAATCGAAGAGGCAGTGTTGTCCAGTCCTGTCCCCCGAGTAACCTCTTCTTTGGCATCGATTGCTTACCTTGTTCTCTAATTCTTTGTGACAACTTACACGACCAAAGAGCTCGACGTGAAGTTAGATTTTCAGGTCACACGTAGCTCGTGAACTAACCAATCACGATTCTAGGAATTGCATGCTCTGGTACAGTATGCAATGAGGTTCATAACCTTGACGAATTCAAATCGTCAGTCCAGTAAGAAGATAATTATTTACTTGAAATAAGATCCGCAGCAGAAAAACAAAATTATCGGTATAATTCACCAAAGCCAATCTAGAGTATCATGTAGATCATTGAATTGGTTAGTGATTGAAGTCCCCAAATGACCGAGTGTTTTTGGCTGGAAAAGTGAAATATGAGGAGAGATCCGCCTAGTGTTCTGGAATTAAGTAGGCGTCTATCGGCCAGTCGAGAAGCAAGTTTGTTTTTCTGAACGAATAGCCGCCACGACTGCCCATCAGAAGTAAGTTTTGTGCAAGTAAGTGCCCCAGTATAACTTGCCTAGTACCTTAGTTCTTAGTCGAAGAAAGTTTCCCTCTGTGAGGCTCACCTTCATTCCTTGATGGATTATATTCCCAGGCAAACAGCATAACAGCCACTTTGATCCCGACGCCAAACTATCTGTCTGGGGCTCGTGTTATTAACACCCGCTTACCGGAATTGAGGTCATTAGTGCAATTTGAGGGCATTTTAGACTGCAGTATCCTACGTTTATTTTCAACAAATTCGTGCAAATCACTCTCATCTATTTTGCTGATGTAGTAGTTTATTGTGTCCACTTACATTCTTAACTCGGCTTCACGCGAAATATACCCGGCCGGTAAGGCTTGCCCATATGGCCCCTCAAACAGAATACGGGAATAGGAACTTCCTATTTATGTAATAAACGCGACTGCGCGTACTTCTATATAGAGTACCTATTCCCGTATTCAAACACTGACAGTATCCCTTGCGTAAACCTAAAGCCCAGCTTTAATTTTAACCCTACCCTAACCCTACAGTAAACAGTAGCTCCAACTTACCTTAAAGCTAAACTTAATCCTAACCATAAATATAACCCTATTTTCTCTGGAACTTGGCGAAAGGACACTTGTATTGTTGGTGGTTCCTGATCATAGTTCATGTCTAAGAGAGCCATATAAGTGACCCTTTCCAACCCGCCTTTACGAGACGAGCTAAGAACATGCAACTGGAGATTGGTAAACCTGCTGTTTGTGCATGTAAACAAGCTGGTGTAAATTTATCGAATTCTTTCCTCCTCTCTGTCTCTATAGGTCACGGAATTAGCACCCCTGCGGTCACTGCTGGAGTGTCTACGCGAGCCCGACCTATACACCAAGTTCCCCGTCTCTATCCTGCACAATTTCGCTGTTCAGATTGCTCGCGGCATGGCCTATCTGGAGGAGGAACGGCTTGTTCACCGGGATCTTGCCGCCCGGAATGTCCTTGTCTTTTCCACCGAAGAGGTTTGTCCTTTTTGAACTATGTTCCCATCAAATTTAACCGTACGCCATACTTCTTAATGTCATACTGTCCGGACAACTTAGCCTAGACTGGAATAAAAGTCCTTCTTCTATCTCATATCAGCAAACTGAACTCGTAATCCTTACCTATTATGGGTTTCCCATTCGCAAAATTTTGCCCTTTGTTGGCATTGAACGCTGCACACCGCTTCTTAACCGTCACCTTGTAGCTGCCTAAGAAGGAAATGGAAGCACGCTTTAATCTTTGGCGTGCTTGAATTGTCACTTATAAAACCAGCTTCGGTTACATTTAGTGTTATACCTCTGGCACTGTTTTTTTTTTTTTCGAATCCCAAAGTAATTTTGCGTCAATCGTTTCCTTTTCTCCCGGCTCTTGTCCGGTTTTCCTTACCTGTCCGAAACAAGAAGAGATTTTCGACCGAAATGTTCTCTTTTTAGCGTACTGAATGCTGCCTGCTAATCCCTATCGATCGACGCACTTTAGGAATATTCTTTGGCCTGGCGGATAACTATCGTGTATCCATCCGCTGATCCGGTTGTCAGAAGCTCGCGATTATTCTTAATCATCGACCAATGTTAAGCCGTTGGCCCTGATCAGTCCTCCTCCGAGTGGTTTTTATTAAATACCGCTTGTCTTAATTGGTGCGCATTCACTGGTTCGACGCAGCGGTTAGCGCCGTCGGAAGATTAGTGGTTTTATTGTTTGTAATTAATGTATTTATGTCTGCAAAAACCGCTCTTTCGGGCAATGACCTGACTACTCTCCACATGCTGTTAAAAAATTCCGTTTCCAGGCTTCTGACCAATGTTCGCACCTCATCATGCTTTCGCTATCGAGCACCAAAACGGACATCTCAGACATTCGCTGCCCCACATATTGCCCTCATTTTGGGGGAGCTTTAGTCCTCTTTTCACTGTGGTGCATTCGTAGCATATATCCTTCCGTTTTTTTAAGCTAAAGGGAAAAATAAACTCGGTGCTTACTGCCCTCTTGCGTTTCCCAAATAAGAAAAAGCACAATTTAATCCGTTGAGGCATACTTTATCACTCCGCCCAATTAGGACTCGGTCGGGTTTTTTTGGACCTCTGAACTTGGGACTAGGGCTTATTGTGGAATCTAATTCCCGACGTTCTTTCAGTAAAGAAGAAAGTTGATCGAACAGCAGACCAGTCTGTTTATTGTACGGATTTTTCAAATTCGTACAAGAGTCAACCGTCAGAGGTAACAGTACCAACGAAAATGAGGGGCATTTATAGAGGGGATGAGCAAATCAGCTGTCAGTGACGTACGTCTGCGAGTGACTACGTCGGTGTCAAATTGATGCATTGATTTATTGAGTTCCCATCCTTGGACCAAGCTTTAACCAATTCTCGGCTCGTCTTGTTACCGACGTGGATGAGTATCGTGATGGCTGTGAAGTTGAACTCACAGTCCGATTCATAGATGTGAGCAGCAACTTGCGATAATTTGTCGTCCCGTTGTACAGCCAGCCTCCCTTTTTTCTTACTGCTGTTACCTCTGACGATTAACTCCTGTACGAAGTTGAAAGCTCAGGACAATAAACAGACTGTTCCAGTGCTCTATTGGCCTTTTATTTTACTCATACAAACACCGGGAACCTGGACTTTCACATTCATTCCTGAAGCATTTTAGTTGTTTGAGACAAAAATACATCCGTGTGCAGTTGTCTTCAAAAGGCCATAACGAGCCCTACAAGACTTTTGCCACCCACCCCTCCCCGTAAGACACCGGAATAAGAACTGCCCGTTATACAAGTGGGTTTGCGTTGACTTATAGGGAAATTAGGTCTGGGTTTAGAGTTGGGACTAGCTAAGGTTACGATTAGGACACG